GGTGTCACGCTTGCTGTCTCGCAGGGCATCTCGATTAGACAGCGGCTCGATTTGGTTGTAATTAATGTGCGTTGTCGTTATTGCCGAGCGAATAAAGCTCAGAACAGCATTTTATTATCACTCAAGATGAGCTTCACCTGGTGAAGGTGAAGGTGAAGGTGGATGGAGTGGATCTCTGTGGACGATCGTGTTTTTCTGGGCGATTGCACTTGCTTTGGTAGAACTGTTGTTCGCACCCAATGGGAATAGTTAAAACCTCTCTTAGGTCCAGCCTATGTATCTTACTTAGCTAAATGATAACCAGTTCTCATCCTTTCCTCATCTTTTTCAAGGCGTGCAGGATTACCAGTTTTTTACACGTATAAAATGTGACGATCTATACGTTGAAAAAATGAAAGGTTCGGCAAGTGAAGTAGTTGTGTTCATCGAAAACAAAAAGGTTGTTTCAGCGTCGTCCGAGCTAAACGACTTTGTAAAACGCCCACTCAATGGAAGTGGGCGGGGCTGGTGGAGTTTTGAAGCGCTTTTTCCAGGACTTGGCGCTTGGATTGGAAGGTGGGGTTAGGGCTACGGTGTACTTGGAGAGGGGCTGTACTACCCGAAACTACCAAAATCTGACAGGGGTCCATTCTGCTGATCCACTGCTTTCAACTGAATTTATGATCGGTAAAGCGGGTCAACAGTTACAGTATACGCGGAATTTCGTCGCTGCGCCGGGACATTTATTAGTCCAAGAGGGGTAGACAGACAGAGATGTAAGTTTACCCCAATCGGGATCAGGCCGAACCGTCGGCTGAATTTGCGCGCTCGCAGCGCTAGGGGTTTGCGCTGCATACGCGTGCTGTCGCAGAGGCGAAGAGATTGAGGAGAGAGCAGACTAGCTAGACGCAGAAGTGGCGCGAAACCCTCGCGACGCGCACTCCCGCCAAGCCAATTTTGGCCTGGTTAGGATTGGGGCAGACTGTACAGCAACCCAACGGCTGATTTCGCAGTAGAGCGCGAATAGCGAGAGCAGGTTTTTCTCAATTCTTCAAAAGCATTCAAGCTGTACCAGTGTAGACATGTACCAATGTAGGTTCAACAAACAGACAAGCGAGTAAAATCAGATTATCCACATCTCCAAGAATTCACAGAATTCCTCCACCTTATTAAAGGGCTGAACATAACAACTGCTGCTGAGGACATATAAAGCTGTCTCAAGCCTATCCCGGAGTTGGGAGCTGATATTTTTAGTATGACTAAGCTCACGGGGTTCCGGATAACTCCTAGCAAGGTTTCAACTCCTCTTTTTCGTGCATCATTAGCCATGTAAGAAGAAGCAACTTATGAGAAAAAAACAGTGCCTGTGCCAGTATATGTGGCAGCTGAGATGCGAGCACACAACACGTTCCTTACAACGTTTATTGCGAACTGAGAAGGCTGTCGCCCCGCTAATCTCCGACTACCGAACCCGCCCGCTTTTATGGCGGGTGATTTATAATAGGGTTCGGGAGTTGGCTGAACAGTGCCTTACATGATGAATGCTTGTCATGCAGAACAGTCGGGTGACCGCAACCAGCCAAAAGTATGTTTTTGTCAAATGTTGCAGTTGTTCCAATTTGTGCAAGTTTCAAAAACAGGTGTGGCGGTATGACTACAGCATACCGCCACATCTGCCAAAACTCTGCTCGCATATTCATGAGCACAGTTTTTTTCTCTTCACACAGTATTCTCCCCATTACGTCATTTGCCACTCGATTAATCTCGTTGTAAACGAAAATCTTCATCGACAATGAAGATTACACGTTGCAGCCTCGTTTCGTCTTCATGTTCTTAACGGTTAACAGATTATTAAGCTTTCAGAGTGATTAAGAGGTTCCTTTGCACCACAGAGATACGATCTCTCAAAAATATTGTGACAAGGCCTTCACTTACTGTCTTTCCAAATCCAAAAAGTTCATAAAAGATGTTACATGTGATTACCAAATAAAAATACATGCTGGCAATTGCTATACAGCCAAAATCATCGAATAACGACGGGAAGTCCTGCGATTTTCATTGGTCTAAACCTCAAGGTGTTTCTTGACTCACCTCATATGTGGCACTTACAGGGCTCCTAAATTGCAGAGTCGTTTTCACCAGCGGTCGCGCGATCGCGTCGCGCCCGACATAAATGGCGCCGCCTCGATCGACGGCGATGGCGCCGGCAAAATGCCCGGACGCGACGCGGTCGCGCGACCGCTGGTGCAAACGACCCTGCAATTTAGGAGTCCTGTATATGTATACCTATCGTACTCCTGTCATGTCCAGCTATGCTTTGCGTGCTCATTCACAGTTACGAATTTTGGGAAGTGCGCTATGTTTTTCACACTTCATCCTTCACAAACCAACTGTGAAGCGCTTTTATCAGAGGGATGACTGAAGGGATTGTACAACTATGTGAAGTCGCTGAAAACAATCATTTTATGCTGCATATTCATTTTGCAGATATCCTAACTGACGTTATTGCAAGGCAAACGATGGTAAAGTTGTAACGGGGGTTGTCTAGTGGTATTGGCGGTTTGAACCGGATCGATCAATAAGGACACGGTTAGAATAAAGATATTTATCTTTATGGCAACAACGAACAACAATAACTTGAACAACTTGAACACTAAACAACGACTATGGGTCCTTCTGACCCGCTTTGGCCCTATCAGCAGGGTATTCTAGCTTATTTCTATCTAAGGGGGGAGGTCCGCCTCTCTTCGACGGCTCGTTTAAACTCCCTGGAGCGCTCTCTTCACGCTCTGCCTGTTCCCCCCTATCCACCGGTATTTATAGCCTGCTGAAGGGGTCAGCGCGGGCTTTTCTTCCCGCCACTGGAGATCGGTAGGTCGGTGATCCGCGCCATCCAACATCCCTCCCCTCCGGGGAGCCGACGTCCTCGACGGCTGCTGCAACTTGCTGAGCTTTGCGCCGGGAACTCTCCTGCGGATGACGTTGTAGAGGTGTCGCGCATCGTCCCTGAAATGCGTATCGTATACCTGAAAAGAATTTTGGGGTCCATCTACTCCCATGGTCAATTTCCTATTTTCTGTCCTTGAGGGAGCCAACGTGAACAACTGATTGGGGTTTGCCCATTTTTCCAGTACTGATTCAATCACCGACCACACTTTTGACTTCGTTTTCCACAAACCACTCTTCTTAAACGGTAGTGGCGGCCACACGGATACAATCTTCCCTCCTTCTTTGAGGTACCTCTTGCATATCCGCAATGTCTCTATGATAGCCTCATCCTCCCTTCTTGGGTTCACGGGCCATACTATGATCCACATACGACATGTCTTCAAGTACTTCAGTGCTTCCTTAAGTTGACTGAATGATGCTGCCACCCTGGTCAGTACTCCACACTGCTTCAGCTCAACTTCCTCTGATTCTGCACATCTCGGCGCAATAAACGCAACAGAACGTTCCTTCTCAGAACTTTGTCCTTCCTCACTGCGTGTCTTTTCAACTCTGACTCCTTTCTGTGCCTCTCCGCACATTTTTCGATCACTTCTGGAAGGGCTGTGCTTCTTGTTCCCCCTCCTACATGTCGACTTCTTCCACTTGCGCTCACGAGCTTCCCCTGGCCAAATTCCTTTGTCTGCTTTGACATCACTTTTTCTCTCAATAGAAGTTTTCTTGTTGACAGTCATAGATCTGTCCTTTCTGTCCTTCTCTGAAATAGCTCCCTTCGCAGTTATGGTGCCTTGTTGGAACTTCGCTCTTACTGAGGCGGCGTTTCTCTTGTGTGGAGGCACCATCCTATCCTCTGCTTTTACTTTGACTTCAGACTTCTTGTGTATCACTACTTCCACTCCTAGTTCAATGCATTTGTGCCGACGAGTACTTCCTTGTCTTCATTGTCCGAAACATGGAAGGCTACTTCCTTTTTGCACCCTCCTTCCAGTTCCACTTCTGCCTTTACCCCTCCTGGGAAGCTCATCACATGATTTGATGCGTCATATATGCTTCCCTCCAAGACATCGAATGTCTGAAGTGACTCCACGTCATAGCCATTGTCCCTCGCTTCTCTAAGCACCCTCACGGGAAGAATACTAATCATTGAACCCGTGTCAATGAGTGCTGACACCTGTCTTCCCAGCATCCTCGCTCGAGTCAAGGTTCTTCTACCGACAACTCCATTTGCCTCAACTTGGGAGGTTTTTACTACCATATTACGGTTCCTATTTAGCATGGATATTACTCCATTGGAAGTCTTGGTAGCGCTTTCGTTCTCCGTCTTCCTGTACTTGCAATCTCTTATGACATGTCCGAAGTGGCCACAGTTGAAGCATCTCTTCCCTTCATTCGATTGATCCTCTCTATTGGCATCTGAGCTGTTCGTTGGGTCCTGTCTCCTTACAGCATCTTGCCTTTCGCCCCTTTCCGCTAAGCTGTTTCGATGCTGCGCTCTCACCGGGGCATACTTCTCATTTTTGCTTGGTTTCCTCCATGGCGAAACTTGCGGTTCACTTCTCCTTTCGAATTTGCACAGCCTTCGCGATTGCTCGATCTCAATCGCGACTTCCTTTATTCTGTTGTATGCGTCAGCTGGCTCCACTTGGTGTAGGGTCCCCACCAGCTGTACATATTCCGGCCATGATGTCAGATTCTCTAACAGAATCTGCGCATACTCCATCGATCTTTCCTCAATGGTACATTGAGGATTGGCCTTCCTTGCTAGGTTTTCGAGGGCGACACAAAAGTCCGCGACCTCTTGGCCTGGCCTTAAGCGTATATTTCTTAAGGCTGTCAGCGCTTTCAACCTAGCAGCTGTTGAGTCGCAGGCCAGTAGTGAGGCCATTTCCCTCACTACCCTGTCAAACCCCTGGCGTTTTACCGCCATGGGTATACTCAGGAATAGGGACCTCGCCCTTCCTTCCAAGTGTTCATCCCCCAGGAGCTCTATTAGCATCCTTTCGTCCCTAACTATTGACCCGTATTTCCTAGTGAACCTTCTGATAAACCTATCGAAGTTTTCATTCTCATGCCCCCTATAGACCCCTGGATCAGCGAACGTCATGCTTTGAAAATAATCTACTAACTGATCCGTACCTTGATTGGGCTGGGGTGCTCTGTTGTTGTGCGGCTCCAATTGCCTCCAGTGCTCTTCGGACCTCTGTCCAGTCCCGAATCTTTGTTCGCTCCACGGCCTCTTCATATTCCACGTCTGAGTGAAGTATTCATTGCCGCTTTCTGGATTAGAGGGCCTGATGTGCTCACCTTGCAACATCTCCACGTCCTCTTGTAGGGTATCCCTCTCTTCTGACGAGCGGTCCTGTGCATGTGGCTGGTAGGCCTTGGCCTGAAATGGCTCTGCCTTGAATTGCTCACTTGATGTGTTTTCTATCACATCTATCTTATTAGTGAGACCCCCTTTTATTTCTGCTACGAGGCTTTCCAAACAATTCATCATTGTGTCTACTCTAATATTCAATTCTTCCTCCAAAGGCGCCCTATATTTTAGCGCGGCCCTACTTTCGTTCAAGTGCTTGCTGACTACGCCTGGCAGCAGCCCCAACTCCTTCATTGAGAAGCCTATTTTTTCTTCAATACTCCCCTTGCTTGTGAGTCTTACCTGACTGTCTCCAGCCTGGGCTTCTATCGGCTCCATTGCCACCGCTGCTATTGTATACTATTGTATACTATCTGAAAACACACTTGTTATTTGCTTGCAACCACTCAATACACGCGACGAATACGCGAAATCGGTCGATAACGATACGACGCGATGATAATCAATCAATACGAGCTGTATGATAAGGCTCTACGTGAAGAGATGAAGATAGTCTATCTTATTCTACTCTTTTCCTCGCCCTCTTAGGCCGTTGTGTGTGTTCTTTGCCGCCTCACTTTTTAATATCAATAATCCAACCGTGTAAGACTTGTCAATCGATCAGATCCGGCTGGCTCGGCCCCCATGTAACGGGGGTTGTCTAGTGGTATTGGCGGTTTGAACCGGATCGATCAATAAGGACACGGTTAGAATAAAGATATTTATCTTTATGGCAACAACGAACAACAATAACTTGAACAACTTGAACACTAAACAACGACTATGGGTCCTTCTGACCCGCTTTGACCCTATCAGCAGGGTATTCTAGCTTATTTCTATCTAAGGGGGGAGGTCCGCCTCTCTTCGACGGCTCGTTTAAACTCCCTGGAGCGCTCTCTTCACGCTCTGCCTGTTCCCCCCTATCCACCGGTATTTATAGCCTGCTGAAGGGGTCAGCGCGGGCTTTTCTTCCCGCCACTGGAGATCGGTAGGTCGGTGATCCGCGCCATCCAACAAAGTTGGTCTTATCGAGGAGCACCAGCTTACAAGCCATTAAAAAGGCTTGCATCGCTTTCAAAAGTTCGCTTACATCTAGGAAAGAGCTGGGGAGTTCAATCGGTATGTTGTAGTCATACCGCCACAAACAACTCCGCAAAACGATACTTTTGGCTGAGCAGTTACCCGACTGTTTTGCTTAACATTCATCATATAAGGCACTGTTTTTTCTTACACGTTGGTTTTTCTTACATGTTTTTCTCCACAATCGACGTATCCGAAGGATGAGACTATTAGAGATGGCTTTGGCTCCTACCCACTGCTTTGCGCGCTCTACATGGAAAGCAGCTACAGATGATTCGTTGACCGCACGGACTGGACATTACTGCGGAGCACGCGCAGGAGGTAAAACGCTTGTCGCAGTACGAATTCTCCATTGTACAAGTCGCGCTCTCGTGACAATTCAGCCGCGCCGCGCGTGGACCACAGCGTTTGCGCAGTCCGTGCGGTCAACGAATCGACGACAACTTTACTCGCTTTTCTGTTTGTTGAACCTCCATTCGTAGACACATTTATGCCACTCAAAGACTGGGCGCCTTTGCGTCCGGTCAAGATAGTTCGTGCAAGGAAGAGAGATCAGATGGTAAAGAAACGAAAGAGCGCTCTATCATAGAGACGTTGTCATGTCCGCAGTCTTTGCGTGCTATGAATCGCCTATACACAATTTGGGTGCTTCTGAAGAATGAAGAAAGCCTGCTCCAATCGTAATTCGCGCTCTATCGCGAAATTAGCCGTTGCTTGCATCTTCCGTCTCTCACAAGGGATGGATACTTGGCCGAAGTGGCGTTTTCGTATAAAATGTATACTATCTTATAGAGCATGGAACGCTGGGTTCAAATCTACTTTCGGTATCTGCAAAGCGCTTGTAGGAGGGAAATTATGGAAATTTTTTGATGCAAAAATTTGAAAGCGCTCTACAGTCTGCCCCAATCGGGATCAGGCCAAACTCTCGGCTGATTCTGCGCGCTCGCAGCGCTAGAGGTTTGGCAAGTGAAGTAGTTGTGTTCATCGAAAACAAAAAGGTTGTTTCAGCGTCGTCCGAGCTAAACGACTTTGTAAAACGCCCACTCAATGGAAGTGGGCGGGGCTGGTGGAGTTTTGAAGCGCTTTTTCCAGGACTTGGCGCTTGGATTGGAAGGTGGGGTTAGGGCTACGGTGTACTTGGAGAGGGGCTGTACTACCCGAAACTACCAAAATCTGACAGGGGTCCATTCTGCTGATCCACTGCTTTCAACTGAATTTATGATCGGTAAAGCGGGTCAAGTTACAGTATACGCGGAATTTCGTCGCTGCGCCGGGACATTTATTAGTCCAAGAGGGGTAGACAGACAGAGATGTAAGTTTACCCCAATCGGGATCAGGCCGAACCGTCGGCTGAATTTGCGCGCTCGCAGCGCTAGGGGTTTGCGCTGCATACGCGCGCTGTCGCAAAGAGCGAAGGGATTGAGGAGAGAGCAGACTATCTAGCCGTAGACGTGCCGCAATACCCCCGACGCGGACTCCCGCCATGCCATTTTTGGCCTGGTTGGGATTGGGGCAGACTGTACAGCAACCCAACGGCTGATTTCGCAGTAGAGCGCGAATAGCGAGAGCAGGTTTTTCTCAATTCTTCAAAAGCATTCAAGCTGTACCAGTGTAGACATGTACCAATGTAGGTTCAACAAACAGACAAGCGAGTAAAATTCAGCTTATGAAATGAAACACCATTATATGTTTTATCAGAAAAGTAAGTTTTAAACCCTAATAATAACTAAAAACAGATTTCATTGCGACGAGAATTCAAAACAAGCATTATAGGCGAATTTCATTTTGAAAATATGCGTCATATCACATAAATTTTCTTAGGTTTCAGGAAAATCATACTGCACCTATATATTTCCGAAACTGCCTTAAATAACAAAATTCTTCTATTTTGCTACCAAAAACTGCTATCCTCAATATAAATCGATTTGTAACTCAATCGAAATTGCGTGTGAACTAGTCGTAAGATGTGAGGTCACTCAGACAATCATGCCTGAGGTGTTCTATATTGATTTCACACTTCAAAGTTCGATATCCAGGAGTCGCTCGGTCATTCATAGGTACAGCAAATCTCTCGAATTTCACGACCAAAACATCAGCTGTTCATTGATTGCCAAAAAAAGAAACTAAAAATCAAAAGAAGATTCTGTAAACAGTCAAGCTTCACCCCAGCTTGCAACAAGCTTATATCTCACTATCAAAATTATTTTTACTTGACATATCGTCCGAGAAACTCGTCTGCCGCAGTAGGGCGGAGCTTCGAGCGAACACGTTATTGCCAGTTCATGACCCCGCGCGCCACTGTTACCAGCTATCGTTCATCTTGACATATACCCGGGCAGACTGTACAATAAAAACATTCGGAACATTAGTGCGTAAGTTCAAGTGAGGCCATGATTACTACCAGGGCGTTCTGTGGAATAAGCCCTTCAATCTAATAAACTCAGGTCAATCATTACTCCTTTCAAATGCCGAAAAGACTTCAACACCTATTTTTATCTCAGCCAAATCACTGAATTTCTACTTCAAAAAATTACCATAACTCCCCTCCTAGAAGTGCTTTGCAGATACCGAAAGCAAGTCTTGAATCAGCGTTCAATGCTCTATAAGATAATATGAATTTCATATGGAAACGCCACTTCGACCAAGTATCCTTTCCTTGTCAGAGGGATGTATGTCAAGAATAACGATAGCTGGCAATAGTGGTACCTTGAGTGTTCGGGTTTCAATAAAAGTATACAGGTCACACCTCCCAAACAGCAGACGATATCACGCAGACGACATCGTAGAAGTAAGTGCCTAAGGCTTTGTTCTTCTTTATTTATGCCGTTAAATCTTCTGCTACTTTCTTCTTGTAAACAGCGAAGAGATCGCCATAAAGACGCGATAGAATTATTTTGATCTCGATTCAGCATGCGAAATATGTAAGCTTTTATGATTCATGTAGGAAACGAACTTTAGTGAAAAGACTTGGAGTCTAAACAGTTTTTCTCAATTTCATGAATGAGTGAGGGCGGGTTGTTCTGCGCGCGAGCAGCTGGCAGTTAGCGGCTGACAGAGCTATCGTTATTCTTGACCGCTACCCGTCCAAGTCGTTGCACTTTAGCACACGAGAGTTTATGGGACCCGTCATACTTCGCCGAAAATAGCAGCGCCCAAAAGCGCCCAGAAAAGCCCGAAAAAGCCCGAAAGCGCCAGAGAGATTCAGGCAATTATTAAGAGCATCCACGGCCCTTAATAGTGCCTTTTGGTGGCGCGCGGGCATTGAAACATTATACTGACCGTCCGCGGCCCTTGATTTACTTGCTTGGTGACTCGCGGCTCAATGTCGCTAGTTAAAGGTCGCGGGTTTTAATTGTTCTACCGGGACACCCGCGGCCCGGGAAAAAACACTCGAGCGGGTCACGGACCTTATCGAAAGCTCTGCATATTTGGTTTTCGGACAAGCCCCGGGCCTTAATAGAGTTTCTGCACCAAGCAAGTCCCGGCCTTGATGGGCGCCGTGCACATCATTTTCGGGCAGGCCCCGGCCGTTTTAGGCAACGGCCCAACAGAATCAGTTTGACGAGCCGCGGGCCTTGTCGGACGCCGCAATTCTTACACGCTGTAAGCAAAAACGTTACTCGCGTGAGATACGCCGCGCTGAGGTATCCTCAAAGTTTAGGTTGTTGCTTATCGGTCCTCGGTGTGTGGCTGGTAGTAAAGACGGTCCGCTGAGGTGTCCTCTCCCAGGGTCACCTGAAGCTGAAAGTTGGGCCCTACGACGGAAGACAAATTTTGACACATATCCTAACCCATGTGCGAAGGGGAGGAAAATAAAAACAGGTGTTTAAAAAATGGAATAAACTCAGACAATTACTGCGAGCATCCGCGGCCTTTACCGTCGTTTTTTGGCGGTGCGCGGGCGCTAAATTTTTGGACTGACTATCTGACTGACTGACTAGATTTATTTGTTCGGCAATCCGCGGCTCAATGCTATCGCGAGGAAAAGGGCGCGGGCCATAACTGTTCTATCGGAACACCCGCGGCCCAAGACAAGACACTCGGGCGAGGGGTCCTGCTGGACGCCACAATTCTTACACGCTGGAAGCAAAAACGTTGCTCGCGTGAGATACGCCGCGGTGGCTGAGGTACCCTAAACGCTTTGGTCTTTGATTATGTAAGTTCAGCTTATGACTAGCAACGGAGTCATTTGATGTAGATCGTGAGCCCATGCGAAGACTTGGAGAATGAGAACATGAGTTCACAGATTTCTATGAAAA